CCACCACCAGCGCCGCTTCTTCCACTACCAGCTCCAGCCTCAGCTCCAGTACCAGCTCCAGCCTCAGCTCCAGTACCAGCTCCAGCACCAGCTCCAGCTCCAGCACCAGCTCCAGCTCCAGCTCCAGCACCTTTAACTGCTGCTCCAAAACCTTCTATTTCCACCCCAGCACCTACATTTACTACTCCAGCAACTCTAGCGTCTACTTTATCAACTATATCTCTTACGTTACCAACCTTACCTACTCTTTTAACTCTACCACCAGCAAAACCCCTTTTCTCGCACCAACCACCTCACTCTCCATCATTCACGCACCAGCAGTTCCCAAAGCTGCCTACAGTAGCTCCATTTCGTCCTCATTCACTGCATACTGCTAATGCGCTGACTCGAAATAGAACCAATTCTGCTGAGGCTACAAACGCCGAGGAAGAAGATATGAACGATGATGAAGAAGATTTCTCTGAAAATGCTATTTCCACAAACCCAGTAAATCCATACGCCTGCCCATGTCCACCACTTTTTACGCCACCATGTCCGCCTCCAACGATTCCGAAATTACCACCATGCTTAATGATGACAACTCTTCCACCATGTTCAACCTTATATCAACGACAAAAACGTGGTGTTCGACTTATAAGTGACTCTAAAAAGCAGCTTTGTAACAACCAACAAATTAGAAAAATCATTCTTAAGGTAACTTATCAATAATTTAAATTTTTCAAAAAAAAACAGTCTTAGTTTATGATTTATTCAAGAACCTTGTTTTGCTAGGAAATAATTACAAAAGTAAAAAATTTATTTCTCAGTCTGGAACGTTTTTAAAAATTTTTGTCATAAAGTTTAAATTTATGAAAAAAATTTTTAAAAAATTAACATTTTTAGAATATTGGACAAAGCATGTCAGAATCTAAAGCTTTGATTCATGCAGAACTAAAACGGGTATTCGGAGGCAATTTTGTAGTGATATGCTCGAATGCGAGCATTTCATTCATTGCCGACTCTTCAACTTATTGCGTTGACGGTGGTCTTAGTTTCCACTGTTACGTTTTTGAAGCTTAGAGCCTCATAGATTATTAGTTCCTTTGCTCACATTCCCTGTTCGGATTTCGGTGTTTATATGTACATATGTGAGAAATAAATTATTTTATTCACAAAATTTTACGTTTGCCATACCAGTAAGCAAACGGAACGGTCACTGTTTCCGCACAAACCGCACTTGCATTGCAGCATCTGGAAACGTGGTTCAGAACAGCTAGACTTTTCTACCATGAACATTGAGGAATTTTAACATAGTTAAATGAGATAACGCACTACGCTTATTGATCAGTATAAAAAGACATAGATGCTTTGGGTATAGCTGAAACAAATTCAGCATTATAGAAAAAAAAATTCAGTATTATTTTCTAAAGACCCAAATTTTTTTTTTTTTTTTGCTGATGGGTAAATAAACATAAAAGACAATGACAAAACTATAGTATCGAAGCTGTGCACAGTTTTGCAAAATTATATATTTTCATCATATCTCAACAGTCAAGAAGGTATTTACAAAAATCAATATTAAAAAAGAATAACAAAATTTTCAAGCAAAAACTAAAAAATTTTTTTAAAATCAAATTACTGTCATTTTTTTAGTAAATTTGCTACACGCCAAAAGTTTACCTAATGTTGTAAAAATGAAAAATTTATTCCTTTTATCAACATCTCTTTTTTCTTGCCGATTTAATTCTATAGTGCTAAATTGTTGATTAAAAATTGTTAATTGTCGGTGAGAAAAAAAATGAAATGCCGAAGATATTTCGTCAACTATTCTACCGGTAGCCACTAAAGACGTCGATTTAGTGCCGTATTGTCTTTCTCAAAGCTCTGTGACCTTTCGTAAAAACAGTAATGTCTTTATACACATTAAAATATTGTTTCTAACAAAGATTTTAAAACCATCGACAAAAAAATCTTTTTTTTTTGTTGCAAATAGGAATCACTGGTTTTCTAGCCGCAATAATGTTCGTTTGGAGACTGGAAATGTCACTGGATGTGCATAAAAGTTAAGAAGCTTTCCTCTTCGTTTGCGTTAAGCTCAGTATTAGTTTTACTAAAGAAACTTTTCAAGATTCAGAATTGTAGTAGCAAATGAAATACAGTAAGCGAAGATTAAACTGACAGGTCTTTCAAAGTTTAACTTTTCCAAAAAAATTGCAGAGAGCGTGAAACTGAACTTCCTTAAAATGAGGCAAAAGTTTTGCTATCAAATCGGTATTTGCGTGCGGCAAATTGATGAATGTTTTTTTTCATAGCTCTGTAAATTCTATAAGACTATAGAACAAAAAAAAACGCATCTTTGGTTGGTTCTTAAAAAACCGAATTTTTTTTCATTTTTAAAATGGATCTTGTAATGTTTTGAAAACTGATATAAATATTGAGCTTTACTGTAAACTTCTGAAGTGTCTAAGTTCTTGGAAGTGACAAGAATAAATATTTCAATGAATCTCTTCTTATCTATGTCACTTTTTTTACGTCGTGGCTCTTTGCTACTAAATAATATTAAATGCCGTCTAGACAGCTTTATTTTTAATCAAATTTGATGCACAAACAAAAGCACCAGTCTTTAGTATTTCAAAATCTTTTGAAGTAAAAGGTTAAGCTTAAAGTTGACAATAATACTTTTAAAAAGTTATCAACTTAATCATTAACCGGCGTCTTATATAAGAAAACTTAAAACATTTGAGCTGCTTAAAGCAGCTTAGAAAAAGCTGAATGGTAAAGTTATGGTTGCAGATGAAAACTGAAGCCAATCACGGTCTTTACAAATTCCGCAACTTATGACTGACATTCTCACTAAGAGGAGTTTTTTGTTGTTATTGACAGCTAGAAATACATTTTCAATAGTCTAGCTACACTCATTTATAGAATTTTTAAAACTGTTAACAGTATTGATGTTAATTATGACTCCAATTCTGGTTCAAGATACCAGTAGCATTCCAATTATGAGTATCTAAAGTTTTAAAATTTTAGCAGTTTCGGATGCAGTTAAAAATATTTCACTGTATACTTTATCATTAAAAAGTCCCAATAAACTACCACTCAAAAAAATCTTTGCCAAGATATACGTCATATTCGTTGAAGTTCTACGTAGAAAAAAGTAGACAAAATTTTGATCGATAAAAGTTGGATTGAAAATGCCATAGTAAAAGTTAAAGTTTCTGTCATTGTCTGTATTCATGACTTAATATTTTTCCTACTGTAGTACCTTACTGATGGTTGACAGATTAAAGTAGCAGTTCAAACCAAAAGAATCAGAAGTATAGTACATTTAAAGTTCAGTATCTTGTCGTTATCCAGAAAGAAACTTTTTTTAGCAACTATTTCACAGATTAACTGTTGCAATAAACAAGCACTTAGAATAGATTATCGGTTTGCTAGAAAGACACAGACATTATTCAGCGCTTTCTGCTAAAAATATTTAATTAACAGAAGTTAATTTTAAAATTACTTTTAATAATTGCTAACTTGTACATTTAAATTTAGTGATCGGTTATTATGATTCCTGTATAATACATTTATAAAACAGTAAATAAAAATCTTTTCTTTTAAAATTTACACTACGAAATAGCTGTGTCTGTCTATAAATTTGAAACAGGGGAAATCTTGTTACAGAAAACAAGTAGCCTTCGGTACTACGACTTCAGTTATGTCCAATACCAACTGTACAAGTTTGTCTGACAGCAGAAATTAAAATGTAGCATTTTTTAGCTTTTAAATATGAAAAAATTTTTAGTTTTATTATTATTTAAACATTTAAAGTTTATCCTTGTTGATGAAAGTAATAAGTTTCTTCATGAATTAGCTGTAGATTTGTTGACTAGACTGATCAGTTGTCAATAGACAGATGATATTGAAACAATTACCATTTCCAGTTGACAGTATGTGTGTATGTATCGTATGTTTATCAGATGTTTTTTTTCCAACTTTAGTCAAGCAAATATTGATGTAAATTGTATACTGTAAAAATTTTTTCAGAAATAAACAAGTTTTTTTAGCTTTTTGTTTTTGCTTTTTTCTAAAAGGTATTTTAAAGTCTTTTTATTCACCTTCTAAATTTTCAACTAATGCCAGTAAGGTTAAGTTACTGTTCATTGACTAAAACTTGAAAGAATACTGTTAAAGCAGATTGTTAAATAGGTTAACATACTATTACAGTGCAGACTAATATTTGTCTGCAAAAAATCTTCGAAATTAAATTATAATTTTTAATACATTTGTTGTTTTTTGTTTTTTTTTGGCTATTAATATAAATATCAATTAGGTAATGCTAGGTATACACTCAGATATACCTAAATGGCAATTGCTGTTTACCACTTTAGCAGTTTTTGTGAAAATTTCTGACTGTAAATTTTTCAACAACTTGTTAATTTTTTTTGTCAAATACAGGAGAAAAAATTGCTAATTTTTTTTATTTATCAGCGAAAGGTGTTTATTTATAGCTTATGCGAAAGAAGAGCATTGAATAAACGTAATAATTTTTGAACCGTTCAAAAACAATGAAAGTTTTTCATTTACGTTTCAGAATTACTTCTTTGGACTTATCTATAACTAACCAAGTGTAAATGAATTTAGTCTAAATTTTCATTTCTCGTTTGATGCTATAACAAAAACACTTAACTATATCTTATACCAATAAATACAATCTTTTCCAAATTTTTGTCAGCGTCAAAACTGAGGCTTTTTCTTTAAATTAACAGTTAATAATGTATATGTTGAAAAAAAGTTTTTTGTGCTCAAAAAAGGAAACGTTTTTCAAACTTATATTATTAAGACTGCTATCGCTTGAGCTATAAGACGATAGAAGAAGGAGGAATGCAAACGGAATAGGAATTTCATAGAAACAGTTTTGTAAGGTTTTTATTCTAAAACTACATAGGCTGTACTTTGTTAACATAGTTTCTTGACAAGTATTTGAGACCAGAATTTTCATCGATTTAGCGGTTGTAACGAAGATACAAAATCAACAGATGCCTTGTGCTTTATTGCTTAATAAACACGGTTTTTTAAACTGTGGGCAACCGAATAAACTATAATTTAGTGCCGTCTAGAAGCAAATTTTTTGTGGACAAACTATAAACCAGTTTTTATAGCAATTTTTTACAAAAATGGTATATTCTTGTATTGTAAGCATAATTATACATATACACTATGCTAGCAAAAAAACAAAACGATATCCAAGAAAAGCTTGAACAATTATTATGATTATATCAGATATACAAATTGAGAAACTTTTCAGTTTACAGAATATTAGGAATTAGACATATCAGAGTGATCATCAATTATAAGTTAGCGATAATGTAAAATTGACAACAAATATAATTCTCTTTCAAATGCAAATTTTTTAGAATTTTAAAAAAGCTCAGCTGAAAAATTTTTGACATTTTTGGCGACAAAGTGTTAATTGAATTATAACTTAAACACAGATCGTTTTAGAAAGTAGATTTGTTGCAAAAAAAAAAA